TCATCATTTGACACCAAATGGGCACCAAAAGGGTTCTTATGCAATGTTCTTATGCAATGTGGTTTGCTTTTCCGAAGCCAACCGATGCCTGGCTCGGAAAGGGTAAGACCTTGGGAGCTTGGGAGCTGCCGCGCGGAAACCGCGTCATACTGAATACCGATCTGTATCCAGGGCACGCCAACTATCCACCGACGGTCCTGCTCGGTAGGCCTGCGCCTAACCCATCTGCGGAGCTGGAATGCCACATTTTGGCAAGCAGGTTCACAAAACACGAGGCTTTGCTTAGTATGATCTGAGCGTAAAGCTGTCCATCACAAAAAACTTACCGACAACGATAAGATGAAAGTGCTTCAACACGTGGTCAAAACCGGGCTCAGAAAGAACACATTCATCGAGATATACAGATATGATAATATATATATATATATATATATATATATATATATATATATATATATATATACATATATATGTTGATATCTTTATATCATATATGAAATGTATATAATACAACACGGCATCGTCGACATTTGGCACCGGCCGACCGACGGGGCCAACACCGACGACGCCACCAGCCGGAGCACGCACCTTCTGCAGCCGCAGCTGGCCGGTGACGGGCGGCCAGTGACCCTGCACCACCACCAGGTCACCGTCCGTCACCTTGAACTGCTTCCCGGCAACGTGCACCACGGCGAACAGGCGACCGGCCGTTCCTCGCTGATGCTCTCGTTCACACGCGACACAACACCTGCCGGCAGTCACGGACCGACACGTCAGCCTCGGTCTGTCAGTCTCGCCTCGCCCCCTTTATACGTCTGAGGGCGTTGGAACGGACCTATTCCAATGGCGCACCTAGCACGCCCCCCCCCCCCCCGCCCCTCAAGACAGTGAAGGAGTGGTTACTTGTTATGTCTTCGGTCATTTGTTCGCACATAGTTCTAAGCTGCCTTTAATCTTCACCGTATTTCGGTGTCATCAAACATAAGCAGTTCCAGTGTAGGACGGCCTAATCAGAGTGTGCCACAACTAAGCGACAAGGCGAAAAGTGTGCTAAAATGAAACCATGCCGTGCATAAGGACCTTGCACCTATAATGCACATACACAGTGATTTTGCTACATTATGCAACATCTTGCGTCATTACTAATTTATTGTCATTGCAACGCGAGGGTGATTTATACAACCTCAAGTTACATCCTAACATCATAGGTCCACACTGGCAACGTCAGTCACTTTCGCACACGCACATTGTATAGGCTAAACTGAGATCAATCTCAAAACCTGTCCTTCTGTGACACTTAACTCAAATTGCATCGTAGCTTGGCGCTGGGCCCGCGCCTCTTGGTGTCAATGGCCTGCGTTATATCAATAATTGACAGTTTAAACGCAAAGAACGGAAGCGGGCGCGAGAGAGAGAGAGAGAGAGAGAGAGAGAGACGAGAGAGAGAGAGAGAGAGAGAAGAGAGAGACAGAACCACACACACCACACACACACACACACACACACCACCACACACACACACCACACCACACCACACACACCACACCACACCACACCACACACACGCCCACGCACACGCACCGCACACGCACGCACACGCACACGCACGCCCACGCACGCACACACACACACACACACACACACAACCACACACACACAACATCCCTATCTGAAGCCCGTTTCCTTCAGTGGATGAAACACGCCTTAAGCGACCGAGGCGCTAGGGAACGGTGGTGGAAAACAGCCTGTATGACAAGGTATCATACAAGGGCTGCCAAAAAAAATCGGTAACGGCGCTGCTGCTTTCAGCAATCCAAATTAGCGAGTTCATCGGGACATTAGCGAAACTGTGGCTGCTCCCTCTGGGCAGATAACGTAGCCCATTCCACCACAGGCCGACCTCTCATTGACTGCGTCCCAGGCCAGCAGTCCACACTCCACTGTATCAATCCGCCAACCAACACGTGGAACGTGGAACCCAGTACCTGCGCAAGTGGTTGTTATCTACACGCACACCTGAGACCCGAAGAGACGAGCAGCTGACTTTCAGCGCCCATTTCGCAGGCCGCAGACGAGGCGATAAAGTGGTGTTAATGCTCCACGCGCACCACTAGGGACAAACCTAAAATCTAGCTGTCGCAGGGAAGGTCTGCACATACCCACGTTGGGTGCAGCAGCCCGTCTCCGGCTGCGGTAATGCGGTATCCCTCATTCATACCACTTAGCAACGAACCAATGCTGGAGGCCGAAAAAGGAAGAGAGTAACACGAATGCTACTTTGACGCACTCGGTTTACAAAGACGATCAGCAAAGACTGCTCTCGAGAGAGACTGACACTCCAGTGCTGACAGTAAAGCGCAAAACTCACGACGTTAGAATATAAACCGGATCATTATGCTCCCAAAAGAGGATCCGTTCCATCACATAGCCTTGTAGATCCTTAAACGAGTTTGAAAACCTGAGCGCCTCGACCAAGTTTGAAATCGGACCGAACTCGAGAGCACGAGCCGTGCCTGAGGAAAGCCGCCGGGCACACCATGAACAACGTGTGGATCACAAGGTAGGAAAAAAAGGTTCTGGTCATCATTTCAACAACACCATCATGGGACCACTAGAACGATCATGTCACCTTATTCCGGGCCCTCCGGACATCGACTCTCCGCCGCAGCCCACCTGACAGAGAACACCAAGTCGCCCTGCAGACGCTGCATGCACTCTGACCAGCACCATCTGGGGGCGGCGGAGCAGCGACAGCGGGCGCTGCTGGAGGACGCGCAGAGGGCGCTGGTACGGCTTCCACCGTCCAAACAGAGAGGCGTTACTGCACCTAAAAAATGGCAGAATTCAGCGGCAACGCGCGGGCCGGGTTTTGTCGCCGTGCGCGGGGCGATGAAGACACCATGGTTAACTATATGGGTTAGTCTAAGCACTCACCATGCGCCGACTCACGGGTCACGCTCGCGCATCTGGAAATGGGCCCAGCGCGTCTAGGTGCGTCCGTCACGCGCTTCTGGCGCCGCGCTCTGCGAGGTCGCCACCCCAGGCCAGCATGTCATCCTTGGGGTGGAGTTACCAGCCAGCTAGACAACAATCAACAGCAGTGTGTGACCAAGACATGTTTCTGGAGCTCTCTAGCTATAAAGATGGAGAATGTCGCGTAATCGAGGGTGGCCTTGGAGCAGATGCTCAGTCTCAGCCATAAGCCACCCCTGTCATGCAACCTGGTCACTTGTGGTGCCCACAGGCAGCCCTACCCCAGCCAGCAATTGGATGCCAGCAGATGGCCCTATCCCAGCCAGCAATTGGATGCTAGCAGGCAGCCCTACCCCAGCCAGCAGTGGGATGCTAGCAGGCAGCCCTACCCCAGCCAGCAGTGGGATGCTAGATGGCAGCCCTACCCCAGCCAGCAGTGGGATGCTAGCAGGCAGCCCTACCCCAGCCAGCAGTGGGATGCTAGCAGGCAGCCCTACCCCAGCCAGCAGTGGGGTGCCAGCAGGCAGCCCTACCCCAGCCAGCAGTGGGGTGCCAGCATGCAGCCCTACCCCAGCCAGCAGTGGGATGCTAGCAGGCAGCCCTATCCCAGCCAGCAGCAGGGTGCCAGCAGGCAGCCCTATCCCAGCCAGCAGTAGGATGCTAGCAGGCAGCCCTACCCCAGCCAGCAGTGGGGTGCCAGCAGGCAGCCCTACCCCAGCCAGCAGTGGGATGCTAGCAGGCAGCCCTATCCCAGCCAGCAGTGGGGTGCCAGCAGGCAGCCCTATCCCAGCTAGCAGTGGGGTGCCAGCAGGCAGCCCTACCCCAGCCAGCAGTGGGATGCTTGCAGGCAGCCCTACCCCAGCCAGCAGTGGGGTGCCCACAGGCAGCCCTACCCCAGCCAGCAGTTGGATACCCATTTCAAAGACCACTCACCACCAGTTTGGGCATGCCCCTGGAACCCTGTCACCACCACTGAATATAGCACAATGAGATGCAGCATCTCTACTAGTTCAAACTGAAATGTCAAATATTATTCAAGGAGAGGTGGTGGCTGAAAGGCTACCATGAAATCTACCATGAAACATGTGCTTGGGGCATTGCCCATATGGTATTTTGGTACTTTCAGGAAGGAAACACCATAGCCAGCTGAGCAACTATGATCCTGATCCCCACTTCAGGGATCCACACAGCTGTCACCACAGCACAACGAATAGAATGCAGCTGACCAAGTGCAGAATAGGACTACAAGCAATGCAAAGCCAAGCAGAGTAACTTATTCACGTGACATGAAATATTTAGGTTCTGGACACAGGCTCACCTGAAACAATTTCATTTTCTGCTGCTAATTTTGAGTTGTCATCTGGTTGGACTTCCTGGTCTATTATGATGCCTGAATATGATGCACTTGTCTTCAGTGAGGCAACACATGAGCGAAGATCCGATCCAGATCTTCTCATCCACACGTTTGATGATGGCAGCCGCATCCCTGATGCTGCATCTTTAAAAAAGTGAACATTAGTTTGGTGATGGCAAAACAGTAGGCTGTTGGAGGGTGTAAAGAAGGAGTCAGTTAACCTCATCCAGCATTACTCCAATATCAACCCAAAGACCCAACAGAAAGCAAAGATACTAGCAATCTGCTATTGCTAACACCTATTTATGCAACATGATAATAATGATGACTTGAGCCTTATGGGATGCCAACTACACAAACTACAGCTGTCATATGGCACCCATCTATTCACAAACACCTCCAAAGAAATATCAATGTGCGGAGCCATGATAACATGCTTAGATCTCATATGGACTGCTTGCACATCACAAAAGAGGGTCATAAAGACTTGTCCTCATGATAATAAGTATATTTTCCTGATGCTTTTTATCTGAAGGCTGCACTGAAAATGGTGGGTGCTAGCCTTGATTTGATGGCCAGGAGCCAGCTTGTATGAAATAGTTCTACCTGATATCCTGATGAGGGAACAGTGATGGTTTTGGGGCTGAACAATGAAATGATAGGTCATAAGGTTGTCATTATCAAGTGGGACATAACACATCATTAACAGCATCCAGGGACCAGTCTCCAGTTCTGGTATGCATGATTTCAGCAAAAAGGCCTTCATCAACCACCAGCCATTTCCTTCTGCCATCCTTGAACTGAAAATGTTCACTCACCACTGTGCATCACCCTGTTTGCACATGAAGTAGAACATAGCTGACTTAATAGACTTGATGTGAACCTTCTTGCCATTGCCATTCTTGTTCTGTGATGGCAACCAATAGGGGGCAATTTAATATTCCTTTGCTTGCCAGTGCTGCAGAAAAATGCAAGTTAGCATATGAGGCAGGCATTAGAGAAAATGATACTTACGCACTTAGTTTAAGAAAGCATGCAAAGGAAAGAGCTCAAAACAAATCTTTTGAATTATTTCTCCTAGGATGAACAAAACATCAGGAGTATAAAACAAATGTCATTCCAAATAGATTTCACGTTCTGAAATAATCATCTCAACGTTGGCTGTCTCGAGGTAGCTGTACACGCTCTTCAGGCTTCAAGGAACAAGTTTCAGTCACACAACATTCTCTCAAAAACTGGAATATGCGTTAGCTTAAGCAAACTGTTAAAGAACATCATGCTGTTTATACCGTAATCCCCCCGTGCGCTATCACATATCCGCAGCACCATCGGCCGCCACTGACCCTTGCTCACCGGCTGTGAAGGCCGCATTTATTTCGGCACGTATGAAAATTTCACTACAGGCAAGAAAGTGCTACCAAAGTAGAGCAGTTTTTTACCTGCGCTCCCAAACCCTACCGCTGAATACACAGGATTGGCGCACAGAACACCTTGCCTTGCCATACCTTATCCTAAATGGATGTTAAATGCATACGTGTGTCCAGTAGCGCGGGTAGGGGTGGGGGCAGGGTGCTCCCTTAGGTTCCAAGGGACTGTACGGGTCCCTCGAAACCTACGATTAGGGGCCCGACTTGAGGACCCGAAGGCCCGAAAGGTCAGCCGGAGGTCTCATTCAGAAGCCCCGGCCCGCAGGACCGGCCACTCCAAGGTCAGCCAGAGGGCCCTGTGCTCTGTTTAGGGGACCACTGAGTCGATAAGGACCTGTCGGTCAGACGCCACCAGTAACGCACAATCGGCTCTTTGGCAGCACGGGCTTGAGGGCCCATTTCCGAAGCAGGGACAAAGCCGGAGGAAATGAGCTGGTCGGAGTCTTATTCGGGGGCCCCGACCTGCAAAGACAGACTCTCATCCAACGGTCAGAGGGCCCTCTGCGCCGATCGGGGACCCCTTGAGTCGATATGGGCATATATGTCCAGGGGCGGATCTAGCCTGGAGTTGTTTTTGGGGGGAGGGGGGCAACCGTTCGTCGCCAGCTGACTGGTGTGGGATCCGCTGGACCTCGGATAGTGCAGTCCAGTGCGAAGTTAAAACAGACGGTAAGCAGACGAAACTTTTATGAAGTTCTGGGAATTTTGTGGAGGCCAAAACATAATATCAGAGTTTTTGAGGGGTGACATGGCCCCGTGTCCCCCCCCCCCCCCCAGGATCCGCCTATGTATATGTCGGTCAGGTATCACCAGCATAGCATAGTCGTCTCCGTGTCGGGATGGGCCTGAGAACTCACCTACCAATCAGGTATAGTGCCGGGATCAGTGTCCTGCACTGGTCAGGGCACCCGTATCTGTAAGGGACCACAGCGCCTAACAAAGGGTCCTGTGCTCGCAATAGGCTCCGAGCCGATCAAAGGCAGTGCTAGATGAGGCCCGAAGAGCACCACGGGGCGGCCCAGTGGAGCCGACTATCAAAGGCCCGGCTTGAGGACATCAGGGCTCAAAGCACTAGCTGTAGGTCACGTATAGAATCTCGGCCCGTAGGGTCGTGACCTGAAATAAAAGCCACAGCTCCTTTTGTACCATTTGAGAAACCCATGAGACAATGCGGGGGTTTAAGTCGGTCAGAGACCACGAACACCGAACAGTCGGCTCCATGTCCGTTGAGCCCTTGATACCTATTTCCCTAGCAGAACGAGGTCGGGGAGGCTGGTGCTCATTCGGCGAATTCGGCGGGGGGGGGGGGAACTCAAGGATTATGGGAAGTGGGTGGAAAGGTAAGAAGAGAGAGAAAAGAAAGGAAAAAAGGTGGCGTAGGTGCCAGGGCAACTCCCAAGCACCAAATTGATATATGTTCTAGTCTACAAAGTCATCTGTATCACCTTGGTTTTGCTGGTTAAAATCGCGTGTATGATTGGTAGGTATCGGACCCTGCCGCGGCCGGCGATTTCATCTGAACTCCCCGGCACAGACCACTATCTGAATTCGAGTTTGTTCTTGTATGCAGTTAGGCACGGACGGGCTTTGCAGTTGCCGACGGCGGTAGGCATGTGACACCGCGCTGGCAACAGAGAAGCTCGGCCGCGGGGCGAGTCCTGCGGCGACACGATTCTGTGCAAGCGAGACGGTGTTGGCGGTCCCGCCCTTTGACAATTGCAAGGAACGCCCTTCCCGTTGCAGGGGTCGCATATACGACCACACAACAACTCGACACGCAGTTTGTGTACAGGATAGGTATTTAGCTAGAGCTCCCAATGCAGTTGTAACTGAAGTTGACTTAGCGTTATGATATGACTTTGATCTAAACTGACCTTAGTGACCGGACAGGATCTTTGCATTACGTTTAAACTGTTACGTAGAAGGCATGCGGCCATCATTATCGACATGATGCCAGTACTTGGCGAGCTGTAAAGTACATTTACGAAGGACATTATGCATTTAGATAAAACAGTATTAGTAAACAAAAAAATAGTAACAGTAAATAAAACAGATATAATAGCTTTATTCCTCAAAGAACAAAGAGGAAAATGGAGACTTAAATGTGATATTCCGGCTATATGCCTTTATCGAAAGAATATTGGAAGCAAATGCAAAGTTGCTTGCCGATCCTACTCGACGTTTCAGTTTTTTTTTCAAAAACGGTGAGCCACGGTTTTCACAGATCACCAACATGCAAGGGATTGAACAAGGAGCAATTGCCAGTCATTCCTGTGATTCATTGCACATCTAAATGAAAATTAAGATGCGCGAAAAATACATGCACATGCAACTAAATTCAAGTTAACAGGTATCACGCAAAACACATTATATACTTCCGCAAGCGATTTCAAGTAAACAGGCATCTCACATCGCACATTACTTTTACATGCAAACAATTTCATTTAAACAGGCATCGTGTATCGAGCGTCAGGCAACACTAATACATGAAAGCGATTTTAAGCTAGTATGCATAGCAGATCAAGACACTAGTCACATTCACGTAATCGGTCATCGTGAGTCCTGTACATGAAAGTCCCGTCACCAACTTCTCATAAAAAATCACCATTTTTCTTGTCTGGATGGTCCCCGCGCTTTGAAGTTAACTTGAGGCTCAAAAAGGGTTAAAGGGTCCGTACTTCCCTGGATTTTAGCCTGCACGTACTCTGTCAAAAGATGGTCACCGAAAGGGTTCGTTTTTATTCTCTGTTTCATTTTTAGTATCTCACTGGTGTTCATTGGAACTGAAACGGAAAGGGCGCATAGACTTCCCAGCATAGACCATGCACCTCCTATGTTTTTCGCACAATTTACATTTAATTTCGTAAACCACATTTATTTGCGTGCAGACCCCCAAAACCCAGACATGTATATATGACACCTGTCGCACCTCGAGCACTTGGGCTTCGGGATAAGATATTTAACGAGACCGTTCTTTAGCTCCTTGTCGTTCTTTTTAGCTGTGCACACGCGCAGTTTTGATTTCGTAAAATATATGTTGATTTTTTTAAAGCAAGTGTTCATCTACGTCAGGTGGTGTTAAGGCAATTTATTTACCCAATTCAGCCTTTATAATGGAACATACAGAAAGGGGTTCGCATTGGATACACTAGTGCCGGTAGAAAAGAGGAGCAAACGCACAACGTTGGGAACGGAGCTGTGATCAAGCCCACAAACCCTGGTATAATTCTGCACTGCAAATCTGCGCATCCGACTTCCACTAAGCACAATGTAATTCGGAACATGCTCCATAGGGCTCCAAGCAGCTTATCAAGCTGCGAAAAAGACAGGAGGAGCATACACAACATATGTACTTTGTTGTTGGGCCATGGATGTTCTCCACGACCTTTAGGCTGAATGTTAGGAGGTCAAAACACCTAGAACACGTAGGGGGATGTGTGGTTGGAAACGGGAACACGCCCTATCAACTAACAAATTCTTAGCGCTACCTTAAATAGATGAGCACTTGCTTTTGGAAATCAAACATATCGTGAGAAAATCCCAACTGCGCGTACGCATAGTTTGGAAGAACGAGGGGCTAAACAAGTCTAATGCGAAGCATCCTATCTCGAAGCCTAAGTGCCTGAGGGGCAATACATGCCATTTATGTGAGTCTGTGTTTCAAGCGGTTTGCACGAAAAAAACTACGGGGTTTACAAAATTAACACGCGCCCTGGTGGCCCGTTGCATACCCTTCGCTCGAGGGGGGGGGGGGGCAGTTTGACCCCCTGAGATCTCAGGAACTTAGAGAGCTAGAAACACCAAATTCACCGGGTAAGTTGACCTGTACAAGAACTCACTTAGGTCAAGGTTTGAGGTTCCTAGGTCATGATCTCTGGATCAAATAAGGTAAAACAAGGTCAAATTCGAGGTTGGTCTTCAAAGGGCTCCTAGAACCTAGATAACTGTGCTAAGCAAAAACGTCACATGCTCATTTGGGATCAGTGATCTGTTTGACCTTTTGAAAGCCATGCGACCAAAATCAGGCAAGACTGCTTTGAGTTTTAAATTCAAATGAGCGACAGAGATTACGCTAGGCAGTATGCTCCTAAAAAACAGCATATTGACGTGGGTCATTTTGGGTCAATGACCTATTATGATCTTTAAGAAGCCCATGGGTGGTGTATACGACGATTTCTGTTATCAATTAATTTGAAATGAGCACCAGAAACTACCCCATACAGTAAATCCTAGAGTAATAAAACCCGTCGATTTTGACCTTGGTCTGACTTTTATACATGACCCTAGGTCGATATCATCTGTTCATTAAATTGTTGTGTATCCTAAGAAAGTATATCAGAGATGTGTGGCTTCGTTTAACACTTCGTTGTTTGATCAGGTTGAACAATTCACCAGAAATTGCCTTCCATAAAACCATGACCTGACTTTGACCTACCACAGGATACTGACCTTACAAGGTGCATCTAAACCTGTGATACTAGACGATCCGCTGTTCAGTTCTCTACGGCTATGCAAAATCTGGCGCGGCGTAGCCGCGCCACTCCGAAACAATTCCGGAAAAAACCTTTGGGGGGTCATTTTTTTGGGGGGGGTCTACCCGTTCGCGTGTTTTCACAAGTCTTAACTTTAAGAAAAACATGGGAGGGATATCATCAATGTCTGGGGGTTCTTGCGTCCTATTGGTGAAATACCCCTGTGCGATCAAGAGCGCCCGGGCAAGTTAACAGCAAGAGCCTTGACAGGAGTGAAGAGTCCCCCGAAAATAAGACCAAAGGGAAAGAGCCCTAAATCATAGTGGAGGGCTCCTGGGCATCGAGTGCATCGAGAGCCATGCCATATGTAAGCTTCAGCAAGAGCACAAGGTCCCCCGAACAAGTAGAAAGAACCTGATACTAATACGATAGGCCAATGAGCAACTGAGTGTACCC